ACTGTAGCACTTTACTCTGTTTGTCTTCTAGTGCTTGTTTAGGAATTCTGGACAGGTTCTTCAATTTTTAGAGGTCCAGACTTTGTCTTCGAGTCATTTGTTCTTGAATCAGCATAATTATCTTCAATCTAGCCGTTGAAAATCAAGAGATTGATTTTTCCTTACCAACGGGTAGAATTTCTTCATTCAAGACTTAGATAATTTTCTAAGTCTTTTCTCACTTGTCCGCTTTTTGAGAATTCCGGTCTTCCTTGAGGCATCCGGTTCTTAGCTGACAAATCCGGAAGAGTCATACTCAGTCTTCCAGATGAGAAAGAAATCCGCGCTAGTCTTTCGACTTAGCCTTCAGCGGGTTGTAACGAGACATCCGGTTCTCATGTAGTATTCCGGATAGGAGGATTTTCGTCTGCTTTGAGAGATCCTTACTTGTCTCTGACATTTCCGATCAAGATATCCAATTTCCAAATTTCTGAATTTGATTAAGTCTTCAGGCATCAAACCGCTTAAAGAAATATCAACACTTTATTGGAAATCTCAAGAACTTGGTTTTAACAATATTTCTAAAAGGAAAAATTACATTGAATATCTAGGGAGACCTAAAGTCCCTATTACATTCTAAATACATCATCATCAAAATCTATGATATTTTTCCCAACATTATCACTCGAGGTGGTGGTGGTGGAGGTGGTTGAAACATTGGCGCGTTGGCTATTTGTTGCAACACATTAGCCAGAAAGTTGGAAGCACAAGATCGGGTTGACCACCAGCATTCGGGTTATTTCCAACATTTTGTTGATTGACGGGTTCATTGTGGACGGGAGGGGTGAAGCTAGATGCTTCACTATGAACACTGATGTGTTCATTGTTGTTGCCTTGTCCGTGGGCAGATTTTTGACTCATTCTACAATAACAGAAATTCCTTTATTAGGATTCTTTTATTCAGTAGTTGAGTTTAGGACAGGAATTGTAAAGGATTACAACAGTCGATACAATCAATGGATTTGAAACGAACAACAAGATAATTTCTAAACGTTTGTGTTCGATTGGTTGGATCGTGACGAATCTACAGCTGGGTCTTCTGCGCCCGTTCCCATGCAGCCTTGCGTCGTAGATAAATCCTTCGTTTCATTATTCTCGCAAAGCGATGTGCGCGTTGGTAACGTATCAACGAATCATAGACATTTCGTTTGTTCTTTCGTCTTTTACTAAGTATGAAAGTGCGACTTGAATCAACACTTGATATCATTTCCAAATTAACAGTTGACATCTATAAAATTTAATATAGTTAATTTCAATACTCAATTTTTATTACCTTCTTGGAGCAGAGGGATGCGAGAGTCGTGGATTTGATTGACATCATTGACATATTATATATATATATATATATAATATATACATTTTTAAAAAAAATCCATGTTTTGATCCGAAGATCGGGTTTAAAACCATTTGCTCCGATACCAAATTGTAACACCCTCATCCGTCCAGGTCTGTAGCCCCTTTCGGACTAAAGTATTGATTTGGTAATCGTGATAATTTAAAACATTTCAACACTTTTATTCATCATAAATATTATTCAATACATAACTGTAGCAAAATACGGAGTGTTTAATAATAATGCGGAAGTGATTTAAACCATGTTTAATAACAACACAATTATTCATTTTAAAATCACAAATTCCACCACGACAGTCTCGCCCCTTCCGCTTCCAGGAACATGCCAATCATTCATTCTGCCTACCTGCGTGTAGCAAATAAAACACACTACACGCTCAGCGGTGAAGCTGAGTAAACATATTTAAAGCGTCGAACATCCACATAAATTGAATCTAATATTCACAAACAACCATTTGATGTCATGCATACAATATATAATTTATTCATGATATTCTCAATATTTTTATTTCAATATCTCGATATTCAACATTCATATTCAATATTCAATATTCAACAATATCCTTAAACTATGCTTAGTCTAAGGCCAGTTCCATTCTTAAACTGATTCTAGTTCAAGATATTCTAATCCTTAAGCTAGGCCTAGTTTAAGATATATTTTTAAAAAGAGTTTTCAAATCTTAAGCTTACCTTCGCTTAAGGTCAACCAAAAACCGACAGCGTGGTGTTCACTGTTGGGTTGGGTGGTACCCCCAAACGAGTAGGTACTCCTCTAAAAAACACACCAGACCCCCTCTATCCGTAGGAACAAAAATGGATGTTATCCCTTCTCTTCTCGATTCAAGGATCCTGAGATAACCTCCCCAACTATTAACACCCTAATAAATGGTGATTTTCCTATGCTTTTCAAATCGGGTTATCGCCCATGAATTTCTCTGATTTAGTTTGGGGGAAAGCTCAAGAATCCAATTCAACCCATTTATATCAAACCATATATTGTAATTCCTCTTTCCTAATTCACTGATACAGAAATTCTTGTTGTAACTAGAGTGGAAGAGAGTAAAAACCTTGGTTTGAATTTGGAATGAATGAGATTTATTTGTATTATTGCCCCTTGAGACATGGTGAGACTCGAGCTTAGGAGGTTGCCAGATTTGTGGAGAGCTGCGTTCCCTCCTTCTTCCCCAGTCCTGAACCTCCATCAATCCATTTCTTCGAAAAGAGTACCGCCGTCGATTCCTGAACGATCGCCGATTATCTTGACGGCCGAGAGATCCAATCCTCTCTCTAAACCCCATTTTTCCTATATATATATATATATATATATATATATATATATATGTATATATATCTATATATGTATATATATCTATATATATATATGTATATATATATATATATGTATATATGTATGTGTGTGTATATATATATATATGTGTGTGTGTGTGTATGTATATATATATGTATATATATGCTTCGGTTAGGTGACACCTTACGGTGAGATGACATGCTTTGTTCAAATGACGCAAAGCTAACCAAATACAATTACAAAACTCACAAAACGGTAAGGCAACGGTCACTATATTTTTTCAACACTTTGAAATTTTTTGAAAAAATAAAATCAAAGGAAGGGGTGCTAACTAGACTTTGACTGTTGACCGCTAGCATTGACCATCGCCTGCCGCCAGACTCAAGCAGCCTCTGTCGGTCACCGTCGCCATACTCCGGCTGCCGCCGTTGCCCGGTGGTTGACCAGTGTTGCTATTTTATTTTTTATTAATTTTCTAATTTTCAAAATTTAAAAAAAAGTACGTTTTGGTGTTCAAAGTGGTGAGCTTTGCTTTATTTCCACGTGAGCTTTGCATTATTCATTGGTGAGCTTTCTAGTGGCTAGTGGTTAGCTTTGCGTCATCTAATCGAAGCATGTCATCTCACCGTAAAGTGTCATCTCACTCGAGTCAATCCATATATATATATATATATATATATATATATATATATATATATATATATATATATATATATATATCTATATATATATATATGTATGTATGTATGTAGGTATGTATGTATATATAACGCACACTGTTAGCCTTGGTTTGCTAAGCCTCATGTTTTGATGTTAACAAACAATATAAGAGCTTAACGTTTGTTTAAGTGTTTCAGGAAAAACAAGAATCCATTAAGATCCGGTACTCAAGAATGAAGTCGAAACACTAAACTAGCGTAGAGTATAGGTAGAAACCAATGTAAGGATATGACTTTATATACCTATATTCACAAGCTCAAAGGCACTCACAAAATATGTTTAAAACCTTCCCATAAACATTTTCAAATATCTAAAAGGTTTTAAACTCAAACACGAAGGATTAAGGGAATTTTGGAAAACGCAGGACAGTGGTACGGTACCCCAAACGGTACCCCATACCGTCGACACGGTACCCTATACCGCCGGCACGGTACCTCTGTACCGTTAGAGGACAGGTACCGCCAGAGCTGGATTGGTTTGCTGTATTACACGGTACCGAGGTACCGCCACTCACGGTACCCCCTACCGTACGCACGGTACCTTGCTACCGTGAGGACGATACCGGCCTACCGTGACCGTTAGGTTACTGTTCCTGATTTGTGATTTTGAATTAAATCAACCCTAATCACCTCCCAACGGCTAATTAACATATTCCACTATAAATACAAGCATCATCCTTCATATTTTTTCTTTAAGAAACAAAGCTCGAAACATCCTCCCTTTATATTCTAAGTGTGTTCATTCTTTTATTAATTATTTTCAATATTTTGGCTATTTCAGGAGCCTTAAATTCCTGATTTTTATACACACACTTTGAACTTGTGTTTCTAGTTATATACTCTCATATTCATAAGTTTGAATTGTATTTTTGAGAGAGTATACTTTCTTTCTACACCGGCTAAGTTTTGTTCTTCATTTTTATATTCTAGCCGTTGTGTAGAATCCTATTTTGTGTTTTTCAAACACATCTTTATACGGTTGAGAATAGCCGTTAAATTCTCATATTGTATCGGTCGAGGATAGCCGTATAAATCCTTGGGTAAAGGTTCAAGGATAGCCTTTGAAATCCTTGGGGGAACGGTAGAAGATAGCCGTTAAATCTTCATTGTAAACGGTTCGAGATAGCCGTTGTGAAATCTCGGAGTGAATCCTATTGGCAAGGGTTGTTTGCCAAAACTAATGTGGTGCTTTGACGGAGTTCAAGAGGCCGGGACTTAGTGGATTCGAAAATCCTTGAGGAGGAGCCTCGAGGTACTGGAGTAGGGGTTTCCCGAACCAGTGTAAAATCGGTGTGCATTTTATTTACGCTTTTATTTCTGCGTTTTATATATTGCTTCCGCATTTGCGAACACCGTTTTTATCAAACTCCGAAAAGATTTTAAACGCCTTATTCACCCCCCCCTCTAAGGCGTGGGCACAACGACTAAACCGACTTTCACACACAACCCTAGTGGAGGTAAACTGGAACTCTGTGGTGATAGGCTTGAGTACCAGATGCTCCTAGTGCGCCATGACTTCTTCCGTATGATGCATATGATATTCATCACGTGGCAAGAGGGTACCCAAATAATGTAGATCCTCTTGACAGAATTCCTCTTGATACTGGACTCCTCACGAAACCCAAGTGATATAAGTCCTAATGATTGGGAGTCCTTGTCTTATAAGAACCCTAGAACATGAAAGCCTTGACAAGGATGACTGAATGGATGCTACATCTCTTAACAAAATATGAACATTCTAGCAACACTACATAAATGGTTTTTGTCAAAAAATTATGCCAACATGAATTACACCAATGTGAACTATTTTGAGATAACAATCTCCCCCTTTGGCAATTTTTTGACAAAAAAAACAACTATTCAGCCGTTTTTGAACCTCTTCTCCCCTTTTTTTGCATAATAAATGCCAAAGAAGTTTTATTTAGAGAAACAATTTCGGGCATAAAGAGAAGATCACAAGAGGTGAATCGATAAAGAGTTGTACCTACATCAGTCATCCCAGTAGGAGCCAACTACCCATGAAGGAGGGTAGGCTTTGTACAGTCATCTCTTCACGAAACATGCATATGAGGTCAAAGCATAACCAGATCATGAAAAAAAGCTCAACAATATTGTCAATAAACCCAGCCTTCCATCAGGCAAATCACATATCAAAGTCAAACGAAACACATGCAATGTTTTAGCACCAAAAGAAACAGGGCAGAACAACTTTTTACACCAAAGAAACATGAGTTTCTCAAGATAGTATCCCCACAAAGAGTGTTTATTCCTCTGCATTTATTTCCTAGCAGACTCTTGGGTGTCCTCTTCAGATGCTGCTAATGATGATTGAAACTCCTTCTCACTATCTTCCTGGCTATTTTCCTCAGTATCAGCAACTGTTCTCTGTTTTGTCAGACTCTCCCCCTGTCTCCTGGCACCCCTTGTTTGTATCAGGTTGTTTGCAATATGGATGAGCATGATTCTCCTCTCAGTAGCCTTTTGAGCAATTTCATTGTGATAATCTGCATCCATCTGAAGTGCCTTGATCTCATTGTCTAGAAAGCTGAGCTGATAATTTACTGAAGTTGGGTTTTGTGTAGGTGTTGAGGATGCTCCAGCTACTGCCATGTCATTGAAGTGGCTTCCTTCAAGGTACCTCCCATCAGCTTGCAGCAAAGGAGGTATGGGTTCTTCCTATTTATTCTCCTCCTTCTCAAAGCCTTGGTCCTTCAGTATGTTGTAGACTAACAGTGGATATGGAAGGCCATTTTTTTTCTTCTTGTATTTTTCTGCTGCAAATGTCATCTTCTAATCAAACACAATCCTACCTAGATCAAAAGGAGCATTATTTTTTATTTTGTAGATTAGGTTGGCCATGCACAGAGGTACTATGTTAGTGTGAGTGGTTGGAAGCCAGTGAAAAGCAGCAGTTTTAAGAAGGAGAGCATATAAGCTTTTCAGCACAGAGGATGGCACTTTGGATTTCCCATGTTGGTAGTCCCTAAGTCCATTTGTGAGCTCATTCCACACAGTTTCTTCAGCAAAAGGGGAGATTGCAGGATTGGGGGTAGTGCCAAGGAAGTTGTTTATTACAGAGGGTGAGAAATCATAAAGCTTTCCACGAACAAAGACTTTGTGGTATGAAGGAACATCATCAGTAACACATGACTCAAATAAATTGTAGAAAAACTCTTGAACTACTTTCTTCACATAAGAACCAGCTGGAATAACATATTTAAACAGTTTCTTTGAGTGGAGTATGGGCAACAAGTTTGTTTTCTTGCTAAAGTCAGGCACATCAAGATTCCTTTGTGGTATAATGGATTTCTTCACAACATCAGAAAAGAAAGATTTTGCAGTAGTAGAAGAAAAAGATTTAATAGAGAGCTTCCCTGAATTGCAGCCTGTGTTTGAAATTTTGGAGCTCATGGTCTCCCTTCCTTGCGTAGATGAGGATGGAGCATCTGTTAGAAGTTTTGATTTCTTAACAGGAGATTTTGGTGAGGAGCAAGCTTCTCTTTCTTTTCTCTTCTTTGTTTCAGATTGAGGCTTCATATGTTTCTTCTTTTTCTCGAACTCTTGGACTTCCGCTTTCTCTTCTACCGGATTCGTTGTGTGCTGGGTGGCTTTGGATTTTCTTAGAGACCATCGGGTAGGTCTAGTGGTGTTTTTCCTTTCTGTGTCTTCTCCCCCCGTCTTGTATGCGAAGTCTTGAAAGGGGACTTCAAAGCATGCAATGATGGGTTCTTCTTCAAGAATTTCACCCAGAATTTCTTCTTCACAACCTCCTCCTTCTGTGCTATGGTTTTTTTGTAGATTCTTCTTCTGGATTCAACGGGGCATACTCGAGGCGTAATACTTCTGTAGGTTGAAGGATCTAAAGGTACAAGCCATCATCATCTAAGGGAAGGGGTAGCGCTGCAAGATCTCTAGTTGTTTGAGTTTGTGCAGGAGTGGAAGAGGATGATTCGCCCTTTGAGAAGATCTTGGTCCAAGAGGGCCTCTGAAACCTTTTCTTTTGTAGCCTTGCTTTGCCAGTCCATCTTTGGGGTAAGGCCATCTTGAGATGCACCATTGTTGTTGCAGGGAATTTCTTGTTTCTTCTTGAATTTCTTGGCAAATTGGAGTTTGGAGGGATCTGTAAAGGGCTTTACTCAACCCTAGGAGTCCTTTTTATTTGAATTCGAATTGGTGACTCTATGGTTCTCGTGCTCTAACAGATGGAGTTTATTGAGCATTGTGTCCATGCATCTTAAATACTTTCCCCATTCTTTTTTTAGCGGATAAGGTCATTTTGAACACCTTAGCTGATACTCAGTGTTCAAATGTTTTAGTTCGCTATTATTTGAAGGGTGCACATAGAACCAATTTAGATCTGAGTGTTTCAAATCTATTTCCATCTAGTGCCTTTGTAAAAATGTCCGCCAATTGTTCTTCTATGTCAACATGCTCAAGGATAATTACTTTATCTTCCACCAATTCCCGTATGAAGTGATGTTTGATGTCAATGTGTTTTGTCCGGGAATGTAATATTAGATTTTTGGACATACTGATAGCACTTGTGTTGTCACAGTATAATGGTATTGTAATTTGTTGTATTCCATAGTCCATTAACACGGACTTCATCCATAGTAACTGTGCACAACTCCTAGCTGCGATGTACTCAGCTTCTGCAGTAGATAATGATATAGAATTTTGTTTTTTGCTGAGCCATGCAACAAGGTTTCCTCCAAGGAAAAAACAACCCCCAGATGTACTTTTTCGATCATCTATATTTCCTGCCCATTCTGTATCACTGAATGCTGCTAGTTGTGTCGGACCACCTTTTTCGTACCACAAGCCCAAGTTTTGTGTCCCTCTGACATATTTTAGAATCCATTTTACTGCTTTGAGATGCGACTCCTTTGGGTTTGCTTGATATCTTGCACATACCCCTACACTGTAGGACAGATCTGGCCTTCTTGCAGTTAGATATAAGAGACTTCCAATCATGCTTCTATATTGTGTTTCATTCACTATTTTACCACTGTCATCTCTATTGATTTTTTCATGTGTGGGATAGGGTGTTCTAGCACTCCTGCAGTCACTCATGTCAAAATTCTTTAGCATATTTTGTACATATTTTGCTTGTGAGATGAAGATAAATTTTTCTGTTTGTTTAACTTATAGCCCCAATAAAAAGGTTAGTTCACGTATCATGCTCATCTCAAACTCCATTTGCATAGTCTTTACGAATTTGTCAACCAGCTGCTTAGAGGTAGATCCAAAAATGATGTCATCAACATAAATTTGCGCAATGAGTATATCTGAACCATACCTCTTATAAAACATAGTGCTATTTGCCCTTCCTCGTTTGTATCCTTCTTTGGAAGATAAGAAGTTAGTCTCTCATACCATGCACGTGGGGCTTGCTTCAGCCCATAGAGTGCTTTCCTCGATTTGTAGACATGGTCTAGATGTTTTAGATCTTCGACCCAACGGGTTATGACTTTGGTTTTTTAAAATTTTAAATTCACATTAACACTTACCATTTCTATTAAATAAATTTAAAATATAAAAACAAATGTATTAAATCTATAAAATTATTTTACTTTAAACTCTGAAGTAAGTTTTAGATATATAAATGAATATAAGGAATTTAAAAATGCTTATGTTTTGGAAAAAAGTACGATAATTATGCAATATCATTAAAGTTTTGTCTGAAAATATAAATTTATACACTAAAAACGAGTAGTAAGGTGTATAATTTTGAAAAATTCTAACTTTAGCGGGTTGGTCAGGTCGGGTTTGGTCGGGTTTGACCCTTTTTTAGCAGGCCATTTTGGGTTCAATCAACTTCGGGTTCGGTCATCAAAACCTTTGTTCAAAACCCAGTGTTTTCAGGTCGGGTTTCGGGTCAAAAACGGGTCGGGTCATTTTTTGCCAAGTCTAATGGTTACGTTCAAATTGTCCCAGCTCCTCCTGCATAGAATCTATCCATGGTTCTTCTTTGAGTGCCTCTTTTATGCTCTTTGTCTCGACTGAGGAGGTGTAGAAGGCATTTATCATCTAAATAAAATTTATCTTCTTTTTACGAGTTTGGATTCCTTCTTTGGGGTTTCCGATGATATTTTCTAGAGGATGACTTTTATGAACATGTGTGGGAACTCATGTTGACTCTTCTGACCCTGTAGTTTGATCTTCCTAACTATTTCTGTGCTCTTCAGGATCTGTCACTTCCTATTTTGGAGTTGTTTCAGTTTGTGTTTCAACAGTTCCAGGATCATCACTACATTTTCTTGGTATTTGATCATCAACCACAACATTTATTGATTCAATAATGTTTCTGGTTCTTTTGACTAGTACCCAGTATGCCTTGCTATTTGGCGAGTAGCCAACAAATATTGCCTCTTCACTTTTGGCCTCAAACTTCCCTTTTTGTTCTCTATCTCATAGAACATAACATTTTGCTCCAAAAAATGTGGAAGTGCGCCAGGTTTGGAGTTCTTCCTTTCCATAACTCATATGGTGTAGCCATTGTGCTGCGTTTGATGTATACTCTATTTATGGTGTAGCACGTTGTATGATCCGCTTCAGCCCATAAGTTCTGAGGCAAGTTCTCTGTTTTTATCATAGTACGGGCCATCTCTTGAACATGCCTATTCTTTCTCTCAGCTATGCCATTCTGTTGTGGTGTTTTGGGAGCAGAGAATTCATGCTAAATTCCTTCCTTGTTGCAAAACTCACTAAACGGAAAACTTTCATACTCCCCCCCCCCCCCATGGTCACTTCGTACACGATTGACCTTTTAAATCTTGATTTGTTTCTCATTCTGTACCTTGTTGCTCAGTGTGACAAAGGCTTCTAATGCATCATCTTTGTGTCTCAGGAAGCTTACCCAGGAGTATCTTGTGTAATCGTACGAATTCCAACGGTCGTATTATTGATTGATACACTTTTCTTGGATGACTTGCTCGTGTTTATTTCTCCTTTTGACAGGGACCACACACTTCTCCTTCCAGTGTCTTGATTTTGGGCAATCCACGAACAACATTTGAGTTTGAGAGAGTTGTGAGATCATTGAAGTTTAAGTGACCAAGCTTGTAATGCCATAATATTAATCTTGCATCTTGTTTGCTTGCAGGGAAACATAGAACATTAGGTGTAACTTTATAGCAGTTGTCAGTTGTTCTATCACCTTCTAACACCACCAGTTTGTTCTTGTCTTTCACACGACACTTTTGTTGAGTAAAAATGACTTCAAGCCCTTGATCACATATTTGAATGATGTTGAGGAGGTTTACTTGAAGTCCTTGTCACATCCATCCCGACAATCTCGCCTCATCTGCCACCAGGATCACATTGTTCTTTCTGTTTGCCTGCGTGTAGCAAATAAAACACACTACACGCTCAGCAGTAAAGCTGAGTAAGCATATCTAATGCGTCGAACATCCATAGAAACTGAATCTAAATTCATAATCAAATCATTTGATATCATACACACAATGTTCATTTCAGACATTCATAGTTTTGATATTATTCAGTTCATATCAACACATTTTATCCAATTCAGATATTATTCCAATAGTGCCTTTAAATTATTCTTAATCTAAGGCCAAATAATAACAATGTTCTTAGCTATTCTTAGTCTAAGGCCAAATCATAAGAATGCTCTTAGCTATTCTTAGTCTAAGGCCAAATCATAATAATGCTCTTAGCTATTCTTAGTCTAAGGCCAAAACGTAGCAATGCTCTTAGCTATTCTTAGTCTAAGGCCAAATCATAATAATGCTCTTAGCTATTCTTAGTAAGACAATTATTAATCAGACACTTAAACTACCATTAGTTTAAGGCAAATGATTTCGGAAACTTAACTGTAGTCAGTTAAGGCAATCAAACACTTAAACTATAATTAGTTTAAGGCAAATGATTTCAGACACTTAACTATAGTTAGTTAAGGCAACAACAATATAGCGAATGGTCAACATTGGATCGGGCATTCCCAAACGAGTGATCCTCTAGTTTAGACTACGAATCCCGTTTATGCATTTTTATCTAATCCATCAACTATTCATGTTTTCATAAGTTCATTCTAAGATCTATGCTAGAGATCTTCTAGATAGTCTTAACATCAATTAGCTAATAGATATATCTTAAAGTCTTCTAGATATCCTTAACAATACACATCATTTTCTTGTTTATCAATTTATTCATTTTAATCATGGTTCAACTATTATTAATCATTTTAAGCAGTAGATTCATCATTCATAATCATCCATAATAATCATTCATCCTAGTCATCAATTAACATAACATCCAATACAAGTAGTGGTCTAGTTTCGAGTGATAACACTCTAACTTACCGTCATGCATCACATAAGATTTTATGTGTTAAAAACATCAATTTCATGGTGGAAAATCATCCGTATAATGATCATAATCAATTGGTATCTAAAATATGATTTCATAGCTCAAAAACCATGTTTTCTGAACAATAATCGATATATGATAGGAAAATCGATTACTTGCTACTGACTTCAATTTCTTCAGTGGAATAATGTTAAAATCAATTTTTCATATCCAATAATCTATTTTTGTGTAAAAATAATCAATTTTTTGGTTCTGAGTTCGATTTCCTGAGCAGAATGAAAATATAATCGATTTTTCATGCAATAATCGATTATTAGTCATCTTCTTCCTCGAGCCAACTTTCAGAAATGTCATTTTTAGTCACCAGACTTCTATTAAAGTATATAGAAAGGTTCTCCAAGGTTCATAGATCATTTTGGTACCATTAGTTCGTAGTTTTAACAACAATTTCAAGGTTTATGATTCTTGGTTCTTCAAACATGTCAAACACAAAACT